GAAATATGCAAAATGTCCAAAAAAGCCTTTGAATGTCAATGTCGAACGAATTGAGGAAAACACAAAACCACTCGTCGCAGGAAACCATCATGACCTTGAATCTGGATATACCGTCTTTCGTAGTGCTGCCTGTACCTTTTTCCTTGAATCCAGCCTGATCTTGCAAAAGTCCTCCATCCAGAACATCAAGGAAAATGCGGCTTATGATTTTGTTTGGAGTAGAGAAGAGCATTAGTCTGTGGGATTTCTTCCCAAGGCCTAAGTAGCCCTTCTTCGACAGTTAGTTTTGCAAGAAAGCCCTCCTAATCAATTGGTTGGTACCTTTCCATTTATCCGAACCTTCTACAATAATGGTATAAGCATGTCTAAAACAATTAGTCCCTTTTATAAATTTGGATAGTGTTATTAGAAGACGGAGATTATCTGAACAATCTGATCCCTAACACATTTACTTGTCAAGTCGCTTTATATATTAATAAGAAATAATTGGCAGTTAAATTAAACAAAGTAACAAGAAGAAGGATTTAAAAATGATTAACACAACGTCTGGTAATCCAGTCAAATAAGGATTACCAAAATAGGTTGACAGTAATAATAATCTGTTTTTGAATACACAGTGTTGGGGGAGGGGGATTAGTTTATGAATAGCTATAGACTTAGTATATTTCAATCAGCGCCCTCGACTATTCCTATAGATGACCTCAAAGGCTGTGTTAACATCAATCCCATGGTTCACCTCAATTAGATGTTTGGCTGACACCTGAGGCTATTGGATTTCCACAATCCATTTGTTTTTCTAACCATTTCGGGATATGCTCTCCCACAATCACATGCAAAGCACGATTACTCCTCCCTATGTATGTGTGTCCACACACACACACACGAATATTGGTGAATAGTGTGGGATGCGACATAATCGCTTGTGCAATTCCGAGGTTTGCAGTGGGGCATATTTTTGGCTTTTTCGATAATTACAAGCTGGGCTGCATAATAGGTCCTACGGATGACCGAATTCAACCTTTGTCTCAAAATCCTACTCTTTAATTCCCCGTGATATGGTAATTTGATGAAAGCATTTTTCTTAGGTGCGATGTGGATTGTATGTTTGAAGACTGAGTGACTTCTACACCTGTTTACAAATATCAAAGGATGTCCGTTTTCATCAAGAATATACATCAGGATTTCATTGCCTTCGTCTATAGCATCAGCCGTGCAAATACGTCGAATCCTCTCAAACAGACATTTCACCAAACCTCTCTTATACTGTGATGGACAGAAACTGCGAAAATTGAGGTATCGCCCTGTCCAAGTGGGCTTTCTGTAAATTGATCGTCTTATTGAACCATCATCTCTTCGACTCAGAAGTATGTCTAAAAATGCAAGCTGGTAGCGACTTTCTTCCTCGCATGTAAGACTTATGTGATTCTGTACAGAGTTAAGTCTGTCTAACAGACGACTCGCATCTTCATGATCGTCACATATCAAAATGATATCATCTACATATCTCCTATAGAAGGGCAATTTAGAAATAAAATCAAAGAACAAGTCCTCAACATAAAACATGTAAACGTTCGCTAACACAGGTCCTAACGGACTCCCCGTAGCAACACCAACCACTTGTCGAAAGTGCTCACCTTCAAACGTGAAATGGACGTTGTCAGTACATAATAGTAATAAATCTTTCAAACAAGTTAAAGGAAAAGAGAATGAAAAGCAACTCGAAGATATATATGGTCACAGAGAATATCAACAGCCTTAATCAATGGTACACGAGTAAACAAAGAATAAACATAAAATAAATACATTTTCCTATCTCTCTCTTATGCTCATATCTACAAGACAGTCCACCAGTTCAAATGTATCTTTCAAAGTGAACTTACATAAATTCATTGCATACTGGAATTAAAACATCAGCTAACCATTTCGCTAATTCATGTGTAGAAGAGTGACACATTGATAGAATTGACGTAATGGATTATCGAGCTTATGAATCTTGGATAATCAATCCATAAAGGTTTGGAAAGTCAGATCGCATGGGTTTCAAGGAATTAAACTCTTGCTTATCGATACCGTCCATTCCACGAAGTTTTACTAAGTGAGAAGTTACTTTTCCTTCCCCCGACCGAAAGCTGCTACCTTGACGTGGTGGTCGGGCTTGCATATCGCAATGACCCAACGAGCTACACTGGCTGGAACTTAAGTTCCTGTAGGTTCTACCATGCCAGAAAGGTTGTTTGGATAGCGGTTAGACAAAAAGCAGCTACCCAATCCAATGCCATGACTCAAACAAAAACACAAAATATCATGCCGGATCGGTCGGGGCCCGGATTAACAACGACCGCGCTTCCTGCTGCCGCGTCACAGGGCAGAAGTGATAAATACGCTACTGAGACACACCAAATAAAAAACAACAAACAAAAACAGGCCGTGTGTGACCGGCCTCAAGCAGTTGTCCCTTGGGCTCTGCGGTCATGCAACCAACTTCCATGGTGTGGGCAGCCGGGAAGTAACAATCGCCCTCACACTCCAAAGTGCACGCAAAACCTCTCTAATCCTCACTCATCTTTGTATCCATCTTCATCTCTATTATCTTGCCCTCCTTCTACCAATGCAACTCCTCTACTTGATGGCCCTTCACTTCCTCTTCAATCTGTGTGCACTGATAACGATGGAAGCCAAAAAGCCACCATCGATAGTCTCCTAAAACCACGCCACCAATTTCATATAGGGGCATTTAACGTTAACGTTAGAACTTTTGCTTCCAATTCTCTGATATCATCAGAAGGAACATCAGCTATGAATTTGCTCTTGTCATTAAGGATGGAGAACAATTTCGTTTTGTAATTGCTTCTGTCCATCAGAACTACACCAGATCCTTTGTCAGGTTTTAGAATAACTAAATCGGATCTGTTACGTGATTCCTTTAGGACTTTAAAATGAGTTGATGTTAAAATGCTTATTTGTTTCCAACTTGAATTACGGAATCGGTGTGCTACATTGACAAATTTAACTTCCAACCAACTTTGGTCATCTTTCGAGGTAGGAACTACAGAACTCAATTGATCATACAAATTTTCAAACTGAGAATCAATTGCTAAGTCTAAAATATTGTTTAATGGGATAGAAAAATTGAAAACAAATGACAGCACATGCTTTTCATGTAATAAAATTTCAACCGATGACAGATTTGTCACAAACTTATCAAGATTTAATAGGAATTGGAAGTCAGAGGTACAAGATCCAAGCTATTTCAATCGAGTATTCTATTTCATCTTATTAACGGAAGGGCTACAAAAATAATAACCTCCGTCACGAGAAGTGAACTCGCCAGAAACTGTTGACAAGGAGATTCCAAGGGAGGTAGCAACAAGAAAGCGAAATCATCAGCAAATCAAGGTAGTTCTGAATGGCTGCATCCAGGAGCAATATAAGTGTTTGACATGTATATGTAGTTACATTTAGACAGGTGTTTTGGTCGACATTTGACAGTGAGGCAATCAATTTTGTCAGTAGAGAATCTACAAATATACATTGTCTGAAGTACACAACTGAGGATTGATGAGGGTGACAACGCCACCACTACATTTCGTTTTGCTTTAATGTAATGATGGCCAAGGCAGGGAAAGTGGTTGCACGAATTTCTTCTGAACACAAGTCTGTCTCATTCAAGTGGATTCAACGGCCTCAGGACACTATAAATGAACGAACTCGTGAAGAAAAATTAATATTGTTTGAAATGTACTAAATAACTTTAAATGCTCTATTAAGAATCATGGCATACATTGAAGTGCTGGTTATTTGCGCAATATATTACTCCAATATTTCTGAAATCCTTTCACAGTTGGCATATTTATTTTGAGTGAGTGACATCTATCTCAACTGCCTGTATGGACGCAGACTTTTGCGTCTTCAATCATCAGGTGATTGGAGCAAGTTATACAACAGATTCCGACATGTGTCTCGCAGGTTGGACACATGAGAAATCAGATGGAATTCGTCTCAATCTACAGAAATCGGAGCCTACTGAATACATGTGAGGAGCAGGAGATATAGACACAAATAAAACCAGCGGCAGATGGTCAAGGTGACCTAATTACCAGAGACAAGGAAAACAATGCACCAATCACTTCAGATAACCCTTGAATCAACCGTCACCTGCAACTCGTCCGCACATACCACTAACAGCCACTGGACTACTAGTGAACATCTACCCCGTAACGAAATCAGAAGTCTTGAATGCCGGAATCGCCCCAGAAACACCGAGAATGATTTCGAAGACCTAGCCAGACATGCTTATACCATTATTGTAGAAGGTTCGGATAAAAGGAAAGTTACCAACCAATTGATTAGGAGGGCTTTCTTGCAAAACTAACTGTCGAAGAAGGGCTACTTAGGCCTTGGAAATAAATCCCACAGACTAATGCTCTTCTCTACTCCAAACAAAATCATAAGCCGCATTTCCTTGATGTTCTGGATGGAGGACTTTAGCAAGACCAGTCTGGATTCAAGGAAAAGGTGACAGGCGGACTTCGCTGCAACACTAATCGTCGGTCATATATTCTTGGTATCAGCTTCACTGACACAGAAGAGATCTTCGAGAACGTCAACCTCTAAATAACTGGAAATGTGCCTCAATAGTACACCGTGACCGAAGCATTCATTAACCCAACTAAACTATACGATTCTATCTGTCCAGGGATTCACAAAGGAAAACTTAGAATAGCCTCCGAAGAGAAACAAGACTGCCTACTATCACAGATGACACCCCTGAACGGGAAGAGGGATAAGATGTGCCATATATCTGAATACTGAGAGGGATCTCGATCCTGAATTCACGCACGATGTACGTCGAATGTTGCACAAACAAAGATTCACACACGAAAAGTAAATACGAGGCAGAAGAGACAGGCGAGATAGCAACAGCCCACATAGAGACACACTCAGGTTATTCAGTCAGTCAGCCACCCAACGCCTTATTCCGGTTTAAACACCCAAACACATCAGTAACAAAAATATTTATTATTCTATATACAAAATCATTTCAGAAATAAAAGCATTGCAAAACTGTCACTTCTCAATCTGAAGGTTAATATCGTCAATTATCTATCTACATAGGAATTAATAGGTAGATGCGTAGTTAGTAATAGCAACGCAATATCTATCAAAACTGAAAGTCACCATCTTTCCCCAAAGTGGAATCAGGTGCAATAAACCGGAATTCTTGCTCTGAGTTGGCTGCCACTTCGGTGCTGCATGTACCATCAGGGAGAACATTCTCGTCCTGCTTCTCATCGTCATCCTGCAGAATAGTGAATAACAAACAAACAAACAAAAGTTACTCTACGTACACAACGTTGCAGAATACACGATAATCAAACTACTCATCACTTTACTGTGCCTTACTAATGTCATATTACCAATGACAAGGAACGAAGGGAAATCAGTGGACAACAAGTCACACTCATATATCATCTGAGACGTTACTGATATAAGTATAAAACTTGGGCACTGTGGTAGAGTATAATTCCATAATATAACTGTACTACACTGTGTGATTTATCAAAATAAAATCTTATCTGAGAGGTTACTTCGACAAAACATTCCCAATTCGACTGACAACAACAATCAACTGGGAAATAGTCCTTCATTTTGCAAGACAACTGATGCAAGCCAGGTCAGCCTCTCACTGCTCACTTCACTGTGGCCACTGTCTCAAAAGTCATTGACGTCACCGTCATCAGCATAATCCTAACATCTGAAGATCCCTTCCAGCTAATGTACAAAGGCTAGTCCTTCATTCCCACTGATTCGTGCATCGTAAAACTGAAGGTATGCTATTTCACTGAAATTTCACAACTGGAGAAATCGTCTCACTATCCAAAGTGATACATCTCCTCGCTACACACTGTCCTGTCAGAACGAACATCGGTACTCAGAATCGACTGCAAACCACACCTGCTTACTTTCTGTTTAGAGCAGCAGTTTCCAGAACACTGAATTCTGAGCCAAGCAACGCATTGATGTTTTTTAGCGAAGTCTCCTCAATCCTACACCATGAGACTTCATTTCACTCAAATCATGCACGTACTGCACATAAGATGCAAGTGACTGAGGCAATGCTTGATTCAAATGATCCAATCGCTAATGAAAAACTATCCAGACCAAATCAAACATTCTCGAATGCAGAGTGTACACGACACAACTCTGAGAGAGCGACATATCACAATCTGATGTAAGTATAAAATCTGGGCACTGTGGCAGAGTACAACTCCATTATGGATTCATCAAGATAAAATCTTATCCATAGTGGAGTTACATCACAATCTGCTCAAACTTCCGGTCAAACAATCACTCACCCCATCATTGAAGTACTTCTCAATTAAGTTATACGCAGCCTGGTACACCTGCTGGTTACAGTGATCTTGTAAGGCCTCCAACTTGTCTAGACCTCCACATGTCTCCAGCTCGATACACGCAGGCTCCAACTGGCCGTATTGATCAGAGACCTTGGATGTAGAAAATAAGACAGACCTTTCAGTACAAAATCTTCAGAATGCAAAGTAAACAGAAATAATCTCCTCCACTTAGTCAAAGAATAAACTTTCATCACAACACCACATGTGTTAGAGCATGCCATCTCCTTAACAAGTCACACTGATACCTTCCTGCCTCGGTAGTCATAGTCTGACGAAAACACCCAGGTCGCCACGAAAGCATACGCGTCTCTAGCAATCTTCACACTTGGTTTAGCTACAGTGCAAAGTTGCCTCACACGTTGAACAATTTATTCACCCGCGACACAATGTAAAATTCCCAGGTACATATATATATATATGCGTTGATTTCCTTAATAGTATCTGTTGCCTGACTCTTGCCTTCTGTCGTTACAAATATATACTGTTTGCCTTGCGCTTAGAGTGGACTCGCCTCAATGCTGGTGTGTTAAACACCATTGAAGCCATGAGTCAGGCCAACATATTTTTTCACCTGAACATCAGCTGCTCATGGGGACCGATCCTCGCGTTACACAGACACAAAATATAATCCTACACTACAACACAACTAACCGGTTCACCTTCCAACACAGCAACAATACTCCAATCATTCATGGAGTAAAAGAAGTTAAGCTTACCTCAAGGAGCTTTGTGATGATTTCCAGAGTCATGAGGATGACTTTAGCATCTGAAACTGAAAGGAGATTCTTCAAAGCCTTGAAGATGGGGAGATTCAGTAGGTAGGCGCATTGTTCTGTTGTCCCGCCGGTTATTATATTACTGATGACCCAACAGGCTTCTTTCTGTGCTTTGTATTCACCCTAGAAAACAAAAGACAATACATGTCACAGGCGTAATGCTGGTATAGACTTTCAATTCCTCAGGTGCTTCTGTTGAGGCTTGTTTAACACGTCTGACTATTTTTACCCGATGGTGGTGACCTATCACTACTCATATAGCTAATGAAGTGAATTAATGTACTTGACAACCAAGCCATGATACAACCCTGCAACAATTCACAACCATTGAAATATACGGATAAGTACCATTCATGCCTAGTACTGCAGTAACACTTACTCATTTCCTACCTTTAAAGCAGTACTCCACTTTAAATAGTGCATGACCAACTTCATGTCACATCAGCACTTTCATTTTGTTCAGGATATTAGCTCTAATTGTTAACAACGTGAAGACGATCACTACACCTCCAAGTTTTGCCTACTCACAATTGACTTCTATCGTCCAATCATGTAACTTTCTGTGCTAACTCATATTAGGTTGTCTAAATTAGGCGTTAGCTGTCAATATCTTTGTTGGAATTTCAACCTGACAATAGAACAACAGAATGAGTCACGCATATCTGAGCATTGTAGGTGTTCACCAGCTCTGATAATTGTCACGTGTGACGCACAGTGAATCAACACTGTTCTCCTTGGACAATATTCGCTGCAGCAGAGAAATATTATCAGTACTTAGGTCAAATCACAGAACCAACCTACGAAATCATTCACTTCAGCAGGTTACACAGTTCGACAATTTGAACTGATGAACTCACAAGCAGCTATCAGTTTAAATGTCAGCTACTTATTCCGACTCATGCTGTGCACCCACCTGATAAGTGGAATGAGTTCTCCTCACGTCTGCACATACAATCCATATACATACAAAAGCTAACAACCATTTGTCAAATGGCAATAGTAACACAACTAACGCTCTGGTGGACAACTTACCTTGTGAAGTATTTCTAGGACGCATGGTAATACGCCATGTTTGATTACCATGTCTACCTGGTGCACGTTACCTGCTGCTATATTACTGACAAGCCAGCATGCCTCTTTGACAACGGTAGACTTCTCGTTACTTAACAAGGCTGGAATGTAATCTAACAAACCAGCATCAAGAACAGCTTGTGTCTGCGCATCACTCCCAGCTACAAGATTGCCAATCGTCCTGAGTGCGGGAGAAACGATTTTCACCTAAATAAAGAGATTATTACAGGTGACCACACACCTACCGAAACAGATGCCAACAGACCAAGGAGACGTGGGACACATCCACTCTCAATAATGTCGTCAATGAAATCATTCACTGCGTCGCTTGAGTATGACAACGCCCACGCGCTGTCCCCAATCACGTCCTCGTTACCTTCGTAGCGAAGAAGTCGACTGAACACTGGGAGCAATGTCTTCAGCACCTCACGCGCAGGAGGCGGGTCACGATAACGACACAGATTAGACAGCATCCAAGTGATGTTTGCAACCACTCCCGGCAGATTCCAAGTACGATCTAAAAGTCTACCAATGTTAAGTCACTAGGAGACAACATACTTTACAACTGGATCCAAAACACCACATTTTATGGTAAGATCTCTGAGCACCGCCCCATCACCCGCAATATTTCCAAGCGCCCACACACTTTGCTCTGCTACACAGGTGGCAGGATGACCAAGAAGTCGTATTAACTCCGGAACTGCGCCAGAGTCAACCACAGAATGCGTGTGTCGACTATCTCCAGAGGCAATATTCGTCAGTGCCCAGGCTGCCTCAAAAACAAGATCATCACTGTTTTATTAGACCAAATCAGCGAAACTCACTTCGTAGAACTCAACATTGAAATGAGAATACTGATAACTCCTCTCTTGCAAAATTCTTCAATTGGAGGATCTTTCGTCACTGACAGAGATTTTCTGCAGAGACGGACTGCCTTAGTCCTCACGGATTCATCGTTTGACTGCATATCTCGAACAACATCGTCGTAGGAACCAGGCTTAGAAGTATCAACCTGTTTTTCTCTCAACGGCGTGGTTTCATCAAGCTCAGCTGTGAGGATGTTGCGGCGCTTCTGAAGTTGTTCATCTTTCTTGGCTTTGCGAAGTTCTACCGACTGATCAGCACGTCGTCTTCGAAGTTCCTGACACCATGCTGATTACTATGTTCAACTCATGTTACCTCGCTGCTCTTATCTCTATTCTTATACAATCTGCTTCTCTCCATCGAATCGAGAATGTGCGCAGCTCGCAGATGATTGCCCGCGATGCCTCGGCTAAACAAATTCAACGGTCGTACAATGTACAATGAATTGTACCAAACTGGTGCTGACAATCCGACTGCTACATCTTCACCACCTAGTAGACAGAAAACACCAACAAAGCATTTGTTGATGAAGTGTGCAAAGATGGCGACAAAAGAAGACCATATGTCACTAAAGGTCTCGAAGTTACACTCGCAGAAACAGAGGACCAGTGTGAACTACACGTGTGACATATATATGAGGCCAACATCCCCATTCCGAATATGATCATTTGTCGCCATTGACGCAGGAATCACAACTTCAGTTGGATTTCATGCTGACTTCGACTGACTTGTTTGTCGCACTGTCAATCTGTTTACTTCTTCTCGCTTGACGAATGTGCACAACATCGTACGCATAGACACGGAAGGTTGATGGGATAGTGGGAAGATTGAGCCCTGGAGATTACTGGAAGGCAGACTTGCAGCGTCTTTCCATAGTCGAGACGGTTTCGGCTAGATATGGGTCTTCAAAGGCTAACACAGCTATGCACACCTGACATGAAGTGAAGCTTTGTGTCCTTCCAGTGGTTGAAGGTCGTCTATTTATTCTTGATGATTCTCAGTCTCTAGTGGCAGTTCACGAGCGATGAATCACTACAGAATGATGAGAAGGGTTAGGTGTAGTAACCTAGTGCATTATTACGTTCGGTATGACGATATTGAAATGCGATAGGCAACTCGACTAAAGGCCGACCGAATACTGCTGTTCTCCCTCAAGCACTTTGTGTTTCACCCAGACACAGAAATATCGGAGGCCATCCACGGATGTGACAACGGATTTATTTGACAAGAATACGTGACACATACAAACTCCCAACACACATGAAATTATGTTGAGTCACTGGTTGAGTGGGGTAGGATATCTGTTTGTATACAGTAGAATGCAGAAGTTCATCAAATCATTTGGATCTCAGATCTCTCATCTCCAACAACCAATTTATGTGTGTGGGATTGCAACACAGGGTGGATTATTTGATTTTGAAAAGGGGCGAGAGCTCGATAGCTTCACTGTGGTGTGATTGTGCATCTCTACAGTCTCTTTAAATCATCGTCAATGAATGCATCTTCCAGTGGCAGTGTCACATTCTCGCTTCTCCCGTTGGGGCAGTGTCATGAACAGTCTATCTACCACGTTAGGTGGTCCAGGCTAAAGAGTCAGCAGGTAGTGTGGTTGAAGCCCGTGTCTAGCAGCACAGACGGTCACATAACAATCCTATGCGATATTTCTAGTTGAAGCCGATCTGACTGACTGAATAACCTGGGTGTCTCGATGTGGGCTGTTGCTATCTCGCCTGTCTCTTCTACCACGTATTTACTTTTCGTCTGTGAATCTTTGTTGGTGCGACATTCGACGTAAATCGTGTGTGAATTCAAGATCGAGATTCCTCTCAGTATGCAGATATGTGGCACTCGCTGTAAACGTACAGCCTGGCGTATAATGCAGTCCACCGGATTTAGGAACATCACCGATGATAATTGGTAGCCAGCCAACCAGTCAGCTAGTCCTATTCCTGTATTCACTAACTTCATACTCAGGTCTCGCAGAGTTTTCTGTTGTGGATCGGCTGACACATTCCATTGTCATACAGCTAGCTGGCTGTTTTATGAGGTTGTGGTGATGGTTTGGAGCACTGCACTCCACCGTGTTGGTGCAGCTTGCAGATTACTTCTCGGAAAACGTTGTTTGTCGAAGGCCTCTTCGAAGTCAATGAAATTGTTGAGGTAGGGAGAGGTTTGGCTGCCATTCTATACTTTGTTCTGCGATGATGATGATACGCAGAGTTGCAATTTGACCAGCCAATGACTTGCCTTTCCTGGATCCAGCCGGTTTGTTCTGGACGATGGGGCTGGCGAAGTTCTGCACTCACTGCCTCTTTAATCATCTGCGTGGTGAATCAAATCAATATTTTACTTGGAGTGGATAAGAGCACTGTTCATTCCACGACAGTCAGTTCTTGCAGAGTGAAGTGTAAGTCACCCTTCTTTGGTAGCTTGACAAGGTTAGTAGCCCTCTTAAACAAGTATTCAACTTTTGACAAATTTAATGACTATCAACTTATCCAGTGAGAAGTATCTTAAATATAAATTTTCATTTTAGAACTTAACCAGGGAGATCTATGCTTATGAAACGGATGAAACCTACTTTGTGTGTTTAAAAGTAAGTCTGCCCCTACTTTTCAAAAACTTGATTCTTGATTTTTAGTGGATTATATCATGTTTTGTTGGTTGCAGGTGTTGATTCCTCTTGCATGTTTAGTCACTCACGTCATAGCACACAGTGGAACAGCATAATGTATTGGACGACATTCCAAAAACGATTTACTGGCCACAGTTATGTCAGTTATAACTACATCAACTTCGAGCCACAATTCGTATAGTCCTCATTATTCCTTTCCTTTCAACCTAGGGGTAATAGAAATTTTCAGATTTCCGCTACATATCAGGGAATCATTCTGAATGGCACGCATCTTCAGTTGAATCGATAGGTGAATCTTCCTTTATCAGTCTCCCTCACCTCCCTGTCATGGAATGGATTTAAGACTGCTGTCGTATCCTACCCCGTCGTATAGTTGTGTGTGTGACTGCATGTAGTGCTGTAGCTCAACTTTCTGCTAGATTTCTTATCCTATTAGAGTCATGTAATCTAAATACTTCTAGGTTCTTGTACTTCACCCCACTGGTCTGATTGATCCCCTCCCAATATTTTAACCTCAAAATCACTGTAGAGTATTATAAGGGTTACTGTTGTTGGCTACTCGCAGCTCAATACTAGCTCATCTCATCGATACTGACTTGACATCGAATCGAGTCTGACAAATCTTTTAAAGTCATTTATCAATCGTATTTCACCTAAACTCTCGCATGGTCTACGAGTACGACTTTTACATACATACAGCAGAGGCAATCAGAGTTTATCCGAAAAGGCCAAATCTGTGTGTGTGTATTCAAAAGAAATTTGTACGGTCCCTTTCTTTGCCATGGCCAACTACACAATATGTATGAATATTTTGAAGACGACATTCCCTCTCCCCTTGTAACTATCTTTGGACTTTGTTAATTTTTACAATTCTAGCTAACTCTGTTAACTTATTTGTATTTACGTAACTCTTCTGAGTCATCCTATCCTTATTAGTTTGTTTGCCCAAGTTTTACACATATATTAACATCCTATCCTTCTTCGCAGTCATCATTGCTGTTTTACGAATTTCCCAATTATGTAATAACTTGTTGCCAACATCTGAGAATCAACTTATCTTGAATTGCGTAGTTAATTTTACTCCTCACTTGATACTTGGATATCTTGTTGCTAACATCTGTTGGTTACTCTAATGATTCTCTATCCGACCGACGTCGACTCATGATGTAATCCTGTAACCTATCCACCAAAGCCCTGCAGACAAATACCTGAATATCAATGAGACGCTCACTAGGGACTGGCCCTATTCAGGTATGTAGTTACTTGGGCGTTTTAGTGTGAAGTCATGACCAGTAGGGTGCAACAGGTCGAGGGTGAGAACAAACACGCACCACAGTTGATACTGGTTAGTGCCAGTCGCGCTATGTCTTGCGTGAATCGGCAGAAGTTGGAATTCGTGAGCTGGCCATTGGATTGGGTCTCAATGGCTGATTAATCGTCTACCAGTTCGCTCACCTTCTAACCAGAAGGTCCTGGGTTCTAGCTTAGGAGTTGGGTGTGTAATACCGAAGAGCCAGTCACAAAGTAGGCCGACGAAACAGCTAGCTGTCCAGTACTCCGAGGTGGTTTTCCAATGGTTCTCTAACCGACGGATGTCAGCTCATGATGAAATCCTCCATCCGATCAACATCTTTGGTGGTCGAATGGAAATATAGTCGTGCTGTCGATCACTTAATTTTCTCACTATTGTCTGCTCTTCTCATGCTCCAACAACAATCGTGTCTTACTGTTTGCGATTTATTAAAAGGACGTTCGCGGTGAAGAAAATTTTCTTTTCGACGAGGTCACCACTAATCTAGACCATACATCCGTGTATTTATATTAAATGTGTCTAAATGTTCCAGAATTAGTTCCGGTCAAAGGTTAAATTAATGAAATTACTGAGTGTATTATACAGAAGATAGGTGGTCGTGGTATTCTAGAAATATTTCAGGCCAAAGGTCAATTTGAGCAAAATCCACAATGTGTAATAATCAGGTAGAAAATACATGATGAGATTATAATTACTGGAAATCTCATCAGTTTGCATGGAGTTACAGATTGAGGACGTATTATTAACCAAATAAGCAGGAGGTTCTGACATATAAAAATACAAAATGAAAACAGCGACCAAATCTAGTTATGCAAACAGGAATTAAAAACATCAGTGTAACAGAAATAAACGGGAAGGTTGGATAAGGAAGGTAATTGGATAATCATTATTGGTGGGACTGACTTTTCATGATGGCCACGGTGGGGACAACGGTTGCACTGAAGATATTTCCTTTAGACACACAGTAGTGGGTTCCAGTTGTTAAGTTGCCAGTACCTAGATGTCTTTATTTCACTCCCTTCGATGGGTTTGATCCGATCTTGTCTATAGGACTTTGAAGGACATTTCAAATGGAGCTGAATGTCCAGAATTCACCAGAGGGCATCTATCATCTAACTTGGGGATTTGTAAGAATATCTCATCCTCGTCTGAAGACTATTCTACAACCGGTAAATAACTTCTGCCAGTAGACACAATCTCAGCAGTGAAACGGATCTGTGGGTTAAATTAATAATTTCTAGGAGTAGACTGTAATTGTATTATCAAGTAACCATTAATTTTTACAACACATTATCTGTATTTCTATGATATTCTGACTCAATATGTTTTCATCAACTCGGATACCTAACACGATATTTCGTATCGTTATCGAGTTCATTGTTAAGTCCCGTACGCCGACAGTCAGAACATGAGACAAAATGGGAATAGACAATAAAGTGAGATACTAATATATTTATAATCAG